GAACCTTGTCAAACACTTTTTCTGCGTCTATTGAGAGGATCACGTAGTTTTTGTCCTTGGCTCTGTTAATATAGTGTATTACTTTTTTTTTTTTTTTGTACTGGAGATCAAACTCAGGACCTTGCACTTGTGAGGCAGGCGGTGAAATCACTGAGCTAAATCCCCGGCCCAAGTGTATTACATTTATTGATATGGGTATGTTGAACCATCCCTGTATCCCTGGGATGACTCCAACTTGATCATGATGTATGATCTTCTTGATGATCTTCTGCATTCTGTTTGTGAGCATCTTAGTGAGGATTTATGCATATGTGTTCATTAGGGAGATTGGTCTGTAATTCTCCTTTTTGGTTGGATCCTTCTTTTGGTTTTGAAATCAGGGTAATGCTTGCTTCCAGGAATTAATTTGAGAGTATTACTTCCCTTTCATTTTCATTAATGAGTTTGAGGAGTAGCGGCATTAGGTCTTCTCTGAAGTTCTTGTAGAATTCAGCTGTGAATCCATCAGGACCAGGGCTTTTCTTTGTTGGTAGTTTTCAAATTACATATTCAATTTTATTGGCTGATTTTTTTTATTTAGAATTTATCTTCTTGATTCAGTTTTGGTAATTCATATGTATCTAGGAATCAGCCCATTTCTTCTGTGTTTTCTGTCTTATTAGACTACAGATGTTCAAAGTAGGTATTGATGATCTTCTGGATTTCCTCAGGATCTGTTGTGATTTCACCCTTTTCATTCCTAATTGCATGGATTTGAGTCTTTGAGGTTTTTTTTTATAAAGTTGGCTAAGGGTTTGTCTTTTATTTAATCTCTCAAAGAACCAACTCTTTGATTCATTGATTGTATTGTTTTCTTAGTCTCCATTGCATTAATTTCTGCTCTGATTTTTATAATTTCCTCCCTTATCCTTAAGTATATTCTATGAGCTAGTACATGGTCTGTTTTGGAGAAAGTCTCATGTGCAGCTGAGAAGAATGTATTCTGATGTGAGGTGGAACAGTCTGTAAACATCTACTAAGTCCATTTGTTCAAAAGTTTGGTTCAATTCTAATATTTCATTGTTGATTTTTTTGTCTAGTTGATCTATTTGTGATAGTGGGGTATTGAGGTTCCCCATTAGAACTATATTAGTGCTTATATGATCTTTCGTATCTGTTAGTATCTGTTTTATATAGTTGTGTATGCTGCTATTTGGTGCATATATGTTTATGATTTGTTATGTTTTCCTCTTGAATCGTTCCCTTTTCTAGGATAGAGTGACCTTCTTTGTCTCTCTTAATCAGCTTTGGCTTGAAATCCACTTTGTCTGCAAATAGGATAGCCACCTCTGCTTTTTTCCAGTTTCCTGTCACATGGAATATTGTTTTCCATCCCTTGACTTTCAGTCTGTGAATTTGTTTTTCAATTAAATGTGTTTCTTGTATGCAGCATATTGTTGGATCTTACTTCTAGATTTATTCTGCCAGTCTGTTTCTTTTGATTGGGTAATTTAGACCATTAACAATGATAGTTATAACTCATATGTATTGACTTATCTCTGTCTTGTTATTGTCCTGCTGTTGGCTTTCTTCTTTCTTTTCTGTTTACTTTCTTTTTTTTTTTTT